GTGTATGGAGAGGCCACAAAACGAAGAAGGGGGTGGACAAGTGTGCAACAGAGCCGAAAGAATATCTTCTTCTCCCACAGAGAAGGAAGAGTAGGCAGCTGAAGACACAAAGGGGGCAGGGGAAGAAAAGCTTCCTGCTCTTCTGGTGAAGATGCAGGTTGTCTAGTATGGGGGATGCTTCCATGGGAGTGGAGATGGGAGGTGGAGGGGCTGGAAGGCCAAAGAGACAGAACTGAGCTAAGCCACAGCCTCCACGAGTGAAACATGGGGCTTCATGGCAAACTCTGAAATGTTTCCCAGCTGTTACAACAGCTGAGGCAGGAAGACCATGCAGAAGTCAGGACAAGATGGAGGATAGCAGGGATACTTGGGAAAGCACACACATGTTCTGGCCACAAAGAAGACCATAAGAAAAAAGCCGCTGCTGTAACAGCAACAGACTTGGGGGTGGGGGCTGCTGATGTAATGGCAACATACCTGACTCTGCTGCAAAGACTCCTGGGATATACACCATTGCCTATTGGAGATCTGAGGGCAAAGAACTGAAGATGGGAAAGTGCACCCTGAGGGAAACTCAATCATCTCTTGCACGCTGCCACAAAGAAACCACAGTCCATGGCTAATAAGCCCCAAAGACTTAACAGTTATGCAAACCTGCCCTATGGTTTTTCTTGCACCAGATGGAAAGGTGGGCATGTCATTTAAAGTGAGAAAATTTTAATTTGTAAGCAATGGAAGTGCGCATCAACTTAAGTGGAATGATAATTACCGAACTGTACATGTAATTTCAGTCAAAGTAAATGCTTTGTATTATAGTAACATTTGAACATCTGGTACTTGAACAGGCCATTAGTTGGAGCTAACAGCGTGGCTGCTCTGTTTTTATGCAGTTCTAAATCAAATGAAAGGCTAGAATTGATACTAGTACTTCCAAGGATTAAACACAGCAGTGCTTCACCCAAAGATAACAAATCTGTAACTATGCATGCTGAAAACTGTGTGTTGAACCCATAACTAGCACAGCGTAAGTCAGAGGGAACACAGACTAGACAGCAGTAGTATTGCAAAAGACTGAGATGCAATGTGTGAAAGAATGGGCATGAATCTGAAATAAAATGCCCAAAGGATAAAAAACGCTATAGGTTGCATTTGCAGAATTGTCATTTCTGATGTTGAATGCAGTCTGGAGAAAAATGTAGCTAATACATGACTCCTCTTTTTCATTTCCTATTTAACATGCACAATAGCAAGTTACACATCTCTTTTGCAGTATGATGTATGTTCCACATATTCTGGGAGAAATCCTTCTTTGTACAGGATTCAAATCCATTATTCATTATAACTCTGCATGTTACACAGGAAAGGTGGATAGCAGCAGTAACCATTTGTCCCATCTTCTCTCCCAACTTGTTTATATCATGTGCACCTCCCTAAGAGCATATCATAAGATCGCCAGTGAAAGGACAACACATGTGAATTATGAACTGCAGCAGAGACATAAGCAGCTCTAACTATTCAATTTTTATGTGAAAGCTGGACAAGAACTACATGAAAGTGGAAATCATAGCTCAAGCAAATTTAGTTTTCCTTATGACCTGTGTGCGCATGTGTGTGCATGCACATGTGCGTGTGTGTATAGCATCTAGGTAATTAAAGGACTAATATAGCAGTAAAACATCTGGATTTATACCATAGGTTGCCATCTGGTCAGATTATGTGTTACAAATATCTTGCAGCAGTGCATTCTCTTTTTCCTTGAGTTTTCCAAGCCTTCCTCTGCCAACTCACATTACAAGTTCTTCTGTGTTCCCTTTGATTCATTAAACACTGCTGTTCCCCATTCATGTAAGAAAGCAGGGAAACATGGCCCCAGCAACATAGTTGATCTGCCAGTAACATGCGTCACACACTTTAAACAAGACAATACTTCTGTCTTTGGTAATTTTTATGCATTCTCTTCTTTGTACCTTAGAACTGTATTTTCTTTTATTGACTGCATTATGTCACAGCTACATGATGCGTGAGAGCTCAGCCTGGATTCACAATATTTTTAGATTCTTAGACAGTAACACAATGATTACAATAACGAGATTTTACCATGGAACTGTTGTTTGCGTTCCTTTTAAAGTTTAGTTATGGCTCTGGATTTTTCAGTGATTACATTCATGAAGGAAGCAGACAAAACACCACATCAACCTAAATGGACACCAAATATCAAAAGCATGGTTTACAGTGGCCGATTTATCACCATTCCCAATCAGTACAGAGGCTTCAGATTTAATACTCAGGAAAAAAAATAGCAAGTGTTCTACAAGACTAAGAGCAGATTAAAAAGTTCTTCCCCTCAAAATGAAAGAAAAGCTGTAGAAGTCCAAATGTCAAATGTAGCACTGATCACAAAAGGCCACTTTTACAAATTAAAGTAGCTTTAAGAATTCTGCCACGCTGGCAAAATTCAGAGAAGTCAACAAGAATGTTGCAACTCTCTGGGAAACAGTCTAACAATAATAGAGCTTAAATACTATGACATGAATAGCTACATTTTAAGAAATACTGGAAATCTAAACTTCATGGGCTCAGACCAAAGAATGTTAGCAACTCTTACCTTTTTTTAGATTGTGCCTTACATATTTCTTTCAGAAAATCTGAATTTAGACAGTGTAGGTAATTGAGCCAAGGGTATTCTAAAATGGAGTGAGGAAAGCAGAGCAATTTTTTTAGTGGTGCACCTGCTCATTTTTGCCTCTTTTCACTGATTTAATTTGTATGTCCTAGAATGACCACACCTTTATCAGGACAGAGGTGCAGCAACTGATGGAGAAAACTTACTCAGCCTGACAGTAAAGACTGTCCATAAATTTTATCTCTTGCAACTTTATCTAGTGACCCCACCCAACCTGATGTTCTCCAAACAGGGTGGATTACTGCACCAAATCTACTACCAGACGTGATGCTTCTCCCTTTTCAAAGTAAACTGTAGAATCTCCTGGCTAAAAGAAAAAGCCACACAATATGTATTCCAAATATTGCAATTATTTCCTTTATACATCAGTTCTTTTTTCAAAAATATCTATTTTTATCAAAACAGGAAAGGGGCTACTATTATTCTGCACTGTAATTTTATAGAAAATTTAACATATAATGGGGAGCATGGCATGACTTAAAAACATTCCTATTATGCTTTTACTTTGATATTAGCATTAGAAGCTTGGCAGCAATGGTTTAAGTTATTTAATTGTAAAACAAATTCAACTTCAAAAGGCAAGCTGCAGCAAAGATGAAAGACAATGCCCCCACATTTTTTTTTCTTAAGAAAGCAGGAAATCTACATTTAAGTACGCTCATGCAGACTACTCTGTTTTATGCTGTACCTCATGATGTATGTTAGATTATGATATGTTACTAAGAAAGTTCTCGCTGATGCTACTTTTAGTAGTTTAATGTTCAGTTCTTGATCTTCCAGGTACAAGATGGGACTAAAGCAACAGAATAGTTTTACATACTGTAGTTTATTTAAGTTGATATATGGCTAAAAGCGGGTTTAGATGTGTAGGAGTTCCCTCACAGCCCTGTATTCCTGATAAAACAAAAGAAGGGTGGCTACAAGGAGAAAGGGCTTCTCTGAAGTGGCACCCAACTCTAGAATCAGCTTTCCAAAGAGGTTTGCCTAGCACCTTCTCTTCATTCTTTCTGGTGCCAGGTGAAGACCTTTTTATTTACCTGATATCTTAACTGTTAGGATAATCATTAAAGTTTTATAGTATTTTATGGTATTTATGACATCTTAATGCTATTGTGCCTTTTACTGTGTTTTCTCGTAAGGACTGAGGTTACTGTGATATTTTATTGCAGGGTTTTGATGTTTGTTGTGATTTTTAGTGTTTTATATTTATTAATATTATTTGATATATTAGGTATATTATTATTTCCTGTAACCCACCCAGAGAGCCATTTTGGCTAAACAAGTGGCATATAAATCTAATAAATAAATAAAATACTCAGGCCACATTTAAGGAACAGCTTGGGCACATGGATGATCTCCACAAAAGGAAATGCAGCCATTATTTTGTTTCAACAACCATGTTTTTTCCTTAGAACACTTAAACTGTAAAAGCAAGGAACACTTTAAGGGGGCAATTCACAGAATTCCTACCCTAGCATAAACCAGATGAAGCCAGCAAGACGATGCCTGTTGAATTTAGTACTCAACGGACCTTTTAACCTGAAGCAGAAGGGACAATGTAGAAGGTCCTCTAAGGCGTCAACGACAGCCCTCTTCAGAAGTGCCTCCATGGATTCACTGAATGCCCATGGCTATGCTTGCTCGCTCAACCCCCAGTGCATGGAGGCAGATGGCCCCGGTCTGGCAATGTATTCATTCTAGCTTGTAGGTTGAACTTTAATGGAGATGTCCATGTAGCTGAATCCTGTCCTCCAAGTTAAGTACAGCACCATGGCTACCTCCTTAAAAGTTCAGACTACAAGCCAGAGTGGAAACACTGCCCTACTGGTGTTGCAGCCCCTCCCCCCTCCACTGCTTCAGTGTCAATAGGGTGTCCTGGGTTCCATCCCCTCCTTTCCACACATTTAAGACAAACTAAAGCAGAAACCCACTCACACACAAATGTATGCACATGGGCTCTTCCATGCAACTAAGCCTCCACCAGGGTTTTCAACTGAATGGAGATGGTTTGCCCCTTCAAGCTTTCACTGAATGCATAATAATCAGGAGATGGAACTGATAGGATATGCAACACTGGGAGTTGGGCCAGCAGGCACTGTTCCTCCCCCCTCCCCATAATGTGTTCAATGAATGCATAGTACCCCTCTGAGGGGGGCTTATATCAGTTTACTAGTTTTCCATAACAGGACTTCTGCTATACAGGCACCTTCCATGCAATGTGAATCTGAAACCTTTGCCAATCCAGCCAGGAGATCTGACACTTGGAAAGAGAGGAAAACAAATAATAAATGGCTTTTTATCCACAATCCTTCCCAAGTTACATCAGCACTTGGGTTCTGGTGTCAGGGAGTCGAAGTCCTACCAAACCTCCACATACTAGAACTGTAGATGCCAAAAGTATTGGGATTGATATGGCAAGGACAACAAAGGAACCAAATATTAAATTTCCAAGAACAGCTGCTGCTTTGCATAGTGCATTTAAAAAGCCAAAGCCTGTTGCCCTGGAAGAGAGAGAGAGAAAGAGAGAAGTTAAAACCAGTGGAAATAAGCAAATCAGGGGGAAAAAAGCAGAGTGACGATAGAAACAACATATTAGTTTATATGCAATTTCTGGAAAGGGCCAGTATGCAAAGATGTTCAAATCCTTTCAACTAACATAATTGGTGAAATATGCTTCTTGGAGATTTTGAACGTTACAAAGTAATTTTTACTTGAGGCTGGAAGCAATTTTTTTTAAAGAAAGGTTGTAGATATAGCAAGGATTGGGGAATTATTGGGCAAAGCCAGTAATTGGAGACTTTCTGCACCATGACCTTCCAGAATGATGGCAAAGGACCCTGATACATTCATTCACCCTCAAGTTCCCCAATCCACTCCAGGTTTGCATCCTCCTTTATGCAATAGCTAGAAACTAGTGGAAGTGTAAAAATTATAGAGGGCAGTGAGGATTGTCCATTCAACATTTAAAAAACGAAGTTGCCACCCCTTTTGGTGCACCTACTTTTGCTGCTTTTCAAAGACATCCATGGGGCCCAGTCTCCCTCCTGCCTGTGGGGATGAAGTAGACAAAGGATGGGAGGGAGGAGATTTGGAATGGGCAGTCTCTTGGATGGAGAACACCAGCCTCCTGAAGACATGGATCCAAGGGTCTGTCAGCACAGATGCAGGCTGGACCAATTAGGGGCTCAGAGTGCAGAACACAGGTATGCCCGGTTCCACAGTGCCCCTCTTTCCAGAGACAGGCTCTGAAGAGTTCATAAGCAAAGCTTTGGGTGAAGGGGGGCAGACAGTGGTCAACACTTCTCCTTGTGTATGCTCAGACGCTTGTGAATGCTTAGAGTTTTCTGTGTAGAATAAAGACTCTTACAAGAAGTGCTGGAGAGACTGTCTTGCTTGGAAGGGAACTCATGACACTTCTTTTTGAAAGTTGAAACTTATAAAGTCATTGACAAAAGTATACCTATCGGGCAGCAACCTGTAAAAGTGCATACTTGGTTTCCGTGAAAGATCTTTCCCACCCAAAAGGAGAAGCAAGGAAATGACAGCAATTCCATGAGCACTGGTGAGGATGCTACCCCCTGGCAACAACATGGGCAAGACCGTAAAGCCCAGCAAGGGCTTTTGCTGCTTTTGTCAAGTGGTGTGCTAGCCGCTCCCCACAATCTGATGGAATTACGTCTCCTGGACTTACACTGCACAACAACCAATAGTGGGTCAAACTACCTCCAGAACAAGTCATGGGATGTCAGAGTAACCTGTTCAAAAATAAATCACCTGTGAGAAGCAATCCTAAATCAGATTAGGATTTGGCTACTTATCATGGGCTCTATCATGAGAACACAGTCCACACACAAGGAGGGAAACAAGAATGAAACTTAAATAGGTTGACTACATTTAGTCTAGCTGGCCCTACCTCCACACTGACAGAAGCTTCATCTGTTCAAGGTGTCTGATCTGTTTTAGTAATCTCAGGCTGTGACAATGTGCAGTGGCTGGAGTAAACTAGTTTCCTCATGGTCCATCAGAAAATAATAATGCAACCTCCCCTGGATGCAAGGGAGCCAACCCCTAGGATCTTTCTGGAGAACTGTGCCCTGGGGAGGTGAAAGCCCTGTGCTATCTTTCCATAGCAAAGTCATCTTCCTAAACCATCTGGAGCCTCTTCTGAGGACCAGAAGTCATGATCTTCTGAGGACAAGAGTCCAGGGTCCTGCACTGTAACAGGGCAAGGCATTACAGTAGTCCAAACAGCATATAAGTAAGGCATGGGTGAACATGGCAAGGTTGTACATCTTTAAGAATGGGCAAATAGGCATAGTAGTCTCATGGTACAGTTAAGAGCAGCCATGGTTCAGTGGTAAATACTCAGCCAATCAGTGTGGACAGCACTGGATGGACCAATGGTATGACTCAGTATAAGGCAACTTCCTGTGTCGCTAAAATACTCTCAGCCACAGCAGAAACCTGCCACTTAAGTTCAGGGTTATCATACCAAGTGTGAGTCAGAGTCTTCGGGGAAGTGCAACCTCATCCAACACAGATCGTGTCTCTATTCCCTGATATGCTTTTCACCTAATCAGGGCCACCTCTGCCTCGGCATCCAACCCAGGAGTCTGCAAGTTAAGCTGAATACAGCCAGCAATTTTGTCCTCAAGTGGAAAACTTATCACAGCAGGAGTAAGATGATTCGGTCATCGGGGCAGATTACATGAGAGAGGCTATTTAATGAGGAGAACACAGCTGATCAAGAGTGTGTCTGTGTTCTTACTTGCAGCAATGGAAGGATGCCATGGGCATGATTTTATGACATGGAAGGACTTCTATAGAGGAAAGTTGTCCTATAAAATGCCCACATAGGGAGCCACAGATAATAGGAGTCGTAGAGATTTTGCATGTGCAGAAGCATCAGAAATTCCAACACATGCCAATCTATATGCAGTCTTTATGCATTTTCCATACAGAAATGCCTGATGTATGAAGCATCTCTAAGGCACAAGTTCTGTCAGGTCAAACTATTTGTAGCCCAGTATTGCCTGCTCTGCCTGGCAGCAGTTGCTTAGGACCTCAAATAAAGGTTCTGGATGTCTCCAAAACTGAATGAAGGTCAGAAATGAGATAGTTTTCAACACTTTTATGTTTTCTGGCTTGGCTGAGTCCCTTGCAATGAAATGCTCTGGAAAGTTGGTATGATGGGAATTAGTTGGTTCTCATTTTAATATTAATTAATTTCACACTTTCAAACTGTATGTGAACTTAATTATCCTTTGAAATCACACTTCTCCAAGCAAAATATGCATACAAAATAACTATATTAGCGAAAAATAACATTGAAAATGTATTAAGAAAACTGCTTGCAAAAATGTGTCTATTAAGCAAAATGGTGCACTCAAATTATTAGTATTTGCTTCATTTCTGTACCAACCAATAGCCAAAACTCTGGGTGGTTTACAACAGTTCCTAAAACAGGCCCATAGTAAAACAAAACACTGTATTTTTCCCACAATTAAACAGCTAAAACAGTATTTGATACAAAGTAGATCTGTTAAAAACACTTGACATTGGTGTGCCCATCAAAGCATTAACTATCTTTAGAAGTCTTTAAACATTTTGGCATAGAGGGCTGTTTTAATCTGGCATTGATGAGAGAACTGGCACCATCTGAGCCTCAGTGGAAGATCATTTCACAGCTGGGGGGCTGTCACTCAGAAAGACCCACCCTTGCGGCCCTCTGAATCTTCCAAGTATACTGCAGATGAGAGAGCCACTCCAAGTATTATGACCCCAAGCCACGAAAGGTTAAAACCAACACGCTGCATTGGTCTTGGATGTATAGAGGCTGCTGATGCAAGCAAGTTAGAACTGGTCTTATATTTCCAGGCCTCCTGGTCCAGATTATTATGCTGGGGGCCACATTTTTCACAAGCTGAAGATTGACATGAGATGAGTTGACATGGAGAAGCCCAGGTAGAATTCACTGAAGCTTGGAGATTACCAGAGTGTAGTTTACAAAGGCCAGACTCTCTCTGTCCAGGAAGCAGCTTAGTGGGCCACCTGGGCCTCAAGTGACAAAAATGGATCCAGGAGGATCTCCAAGCTATGAAGCTGGGCCTGCTTCTCCCAACACCCAGCACTCTAAATCCAAACTGGAAGAAGAGGTACAGTCAGAATTCTTAGCTGAAATGCCAAGGCCAGGGAGAGAGTCTCTCTCCTGCCTGGCCTCTCTCCTTTTCCCTTCCCTGCAGATCAAAACAGAGGATTTTAAATAGTCTTTTATGTTAATGTTGCATCCCTCCCCCTATAGCTGTCCTTGTTCCACAATGTCTCCTCACAGACCACCTGGCTCATCTTGAAGCTCACAGGCTTTGGGATTTCAGCTAAGAATTCCAACCCCACCTCTTCTTCCAGAGTTTAAGGCAGAAGTCCTCAAACTTTTTAAACAGGTGGCCAGTTCACTGTCCCTCAGACTGTTGGGGGGGCAGACTATAGCTTGAAAAAATATGAACAAATTCCTATGCACACTGCACATTAAAAATTAAAATTAAAATTCATTAACAAATTAAAAATAATTAAAAATTAAAAAATGTTTGCTCCGCTCCCTCAGGCTGCAGCAGAAGCCCAAGATGAGGTGGGGAAGAGCATGTCCATATTCAAGGGACATAGCTACAATGTCTGCAATTGTGCTGGGGGTTAGACAGGCGCAATCACGGGCGCACTCGGGGGGGAGATGGGAATGCTCGTGCAGGGAAGGCGGGCACGATCACGGCCATCTCCCCCCACAAGCACGACTGCGATCGCACCTGCCTTCACTGCATGAGTGTGCCCGTGATCGCAGGCATCTCCCCACTGAGTATGCCTGCAGAGCTTTTGGACTCGCTCAGAGATTGTGTTCTCCAAGCCAGTCCAAAAGCTCTGAGGCAGGCCAGATAAATCAGCATGGTGGGCTGGATCCAACCCGTGGGGTGTAGTTTGAGGATCCATGGTTTAAGGTATCCACCTTGGAATGCTGTATTAGGGACAAGTAGGCTCAGTTCCTATAGAACCTGCTCTTTAAAGGAAAGCATAACCTCATCCTCAGCAGGCTGAACACCACCCATGCTTGTGTTAGGAGAGCTGTACACAAAACTGCATGTCCAAGTCTCAGAGTTTTGTGGGAATTTAAGACTGAAAAAGGAGAAATTTAACCTGACAGATTTGCCCATCTATAGTTGGAAGTTATCATGGTGATTCTTATGTAATCTACACACAGTTGGTCAAAACTGCCTTCTAGGGCACTTGATGAATGTTTATTTAGATCCCAAGACTTTGGACTGGGATTGTGTTACAATTTATAAAAATCTAATCTTTGTGAATTGTTTCTTTGAAAAAGATTTATTAGAGAGGTTTCTGGCTCCTCAATTAAAAGACTAGAGCAGACAAATTAATAAAATTAAAGTTTCTTGTATTTTAAAGCCTAAAAACCCTGTACCTGCCAAGCTTATCTGCAATCAGCTCTTGCAGAGTGCAAGTTGGAGGCAACAGACTGAAATAATCAGGATTATATTACATATAAGTCTTTCTTGAGATCCTATCTGAAGTAAAATATACTGCAGTAGCCTACAGATAAAGACAGCCAGAAAGATTAGGGAGAGCAGTGGCTAGATAAGCTGAGTAAAATTCCAAACTCAGCCTGCTTAGGCAAAAGGTGAATGTAATTAAAAAAGAAGGAAAGCAAAAGGGTACAATGTGGTATGATAATTTTTTTTAGTACCAGTTCTGCAACCACAGATGAGGAAAAGTAGAAAATCGGGCATAGTTCCAACCTGAGAAAGCCTAGGCTATTGGCCATTATAGAAATGAATTAAATAAATTAAACAAAACAAGTATAACTCTACGGTTTTCAAGACACCAGGAGGTGAAATGTAGAATAAATGGTGGAAAACTTAAAAAATGTTGTAATGTAGTAATGTAATGTAGTAATGCTGGCAAGGGTTTAAATGCATCCAGTTAAAAGCTATGGCCAACAGAACTTCTGGAATGTATATTAGAGCTCATCTCACAGAAGAACGTGATTTGAAAGTAAAGAGGCTGAATAAAACAACAAAGGAGATACCAGTGTTGTCTCTGGGTCGCTTAAATACATGCCAAGGCTGAAAAATAGCACTGGAAAGTTAATCAAACTGTTGAATAAATTGTTAATATTCTTTCCACAGGGTGGCAGTAGAAACTTGCTAAGCTTATAACTATAAAATTATAATATTAGACCATTCTTTTTCTGATAGAATTGAACACAAGGACCATAAGCAGTAATTATAACTTAGCAGAAAGATTTCATTAAAAAACCCTAAGAAGCAGGTATTGGAGGAAACCCAGCAACAATTAGAATTTTTTTTTTTTTAAATTGGGTGGAAGAGTGTGGTAGCCAAGGGCATGATGTCTGAAGCATGGCTAGTTGTGACATGCTGGAAGTTAGAGGCCCTTTTCTGTACTCTTAGGCTGCCATCCTATGGTTCCTGGATCTTTCTGAGGTTAGATGGAGAAGTATGGTCCACCCTCGGAGTGAGAGATCTGACCTTAGACGTCTCCTCCATGCAGCTGCAGGAAGGTCCCTCAGTCAATGCTCCTCATAAGCCAGAGCTCAGCTGCCAGAGAGGGCAAAACCAGAAGAACTCCTCCTGTTCTTCTGACGTGATCCCAGAATAGGGAGAACGTATGGCTGAATTTCCCAGAGCTGGGATAATTTATTTTCCTTGCCCTGGAATCAATGTGAAGAAAACTGTCTGTTTTGTTTTTTAAGCAAAACTTTAAAATAGGAAGGAAAAAGTCTCATGACCATCACTTCCCTCTTTCTGTCAGGAGTTTTCCTCAATCTATGCTCAAATTTTCTCTCTGTCTGTTCCATTGCACTCAGCTTGTGGAGCTGTATAAACCCTGCAAATCTGCAGGAGGCATTCAGAAACTACTGTGTCAGCTGCATCTGGATCTGACAGATTGACCAGGTCTTCAATAGGGGAACCAGCCTTACTGTCTTGAAAAATCCCTCTAGCCCATCAGAAACCACCCAGATCATTAGCCTCTGAGGTGGACTATCCTAATAGGTCCCCCAGACCTGACCACAAGCAAGGGACCAGTTCCAAGCCTCACATGTTGAGATCCCCTCTCCACAGTCAGCTGGAAAAACCAAGTCTACACTGGCTCTGATCCATGAATCAGGTCACTGACACATTTATGTATTTGACATGCAGCAAGAAAAAGAACACTCACGTGCCTGGACCTTTACTCAAACACAGCAGTTTAGAAACATAGATAAATGTTTCTACAAATACATAACAAGTATGGCATCCATCTTAACACACTGGCCAATATGCCAGAGGCCTGCTTTAATGAAAAGAACTCTCTACCTGCTGACAGAAGGAAATCAAGAGGGAACAAAGCAGTCTCCCTTGTCAGGGAATTCCGTACATTGGGACAGTCAGCAAATCAGCCAGATTTTAGAGAAGTGACTCATGCTTTTGCATGATCTGGGCAATGGCTTTCTAACTGAAAGGCTTTATTAAGTTAATGCTGACCAGCTAGGCTGGATTTGAAGTATAAATGAAGAATATTGCAGAAGTCAATTTAAAAAAACAAGCAAAGTTAGGTCATATGATGTTATCTATTATTGTTTTATCTATTTTATCTAATTATTAATTGCTTCATTGTATTCTGTGTATGTTTTTATGCTGTTTTAAACCACCCAGAGAACCTTTGGATTATGAGGCAGCATAGAAATGGAATGAAATGGAATGTAAATTACCAAATGCGCAAGTAAGGGCCTTCCCCAAGAAAAAAAACAGTTTGCTCAGGTTATCAGTTAGCCTGGAAAGGCTCTTTGCTCTTCACTATGCCAGCACCCCCACAACAACGGAAGTAGCCTGACAGTGGAAGGAAAGAATGCAGAGCAGGATGCCAGATGGTCAGACTCAGTTCACTGGCTCAGCATAATGCCTTGCCCATTATTTCAGGCTTGATTTCGGAAAGACCAGTAAAGATAAAGACCTTCTCTAACAATAAAGCACAGCTGGTTTAATGTGTGTATTCAGCATCATGTTCATAAAAATCTAAAATAAAAAAGGTGGATTTTAAGGTCTTTGCTACATGGGGTGTAATTTCTACATGTGCTCCAAATTTCCTACTCACAGTTGTTTGCACTGTGAACCTTCAATTTCACTTGGGTGTCTAATGAGCACTTTTGGCAAATCTTTTCTAGAGTAGGGAAAATGCAATATTTAATTGTAAAACTGAAAGAAAATGGTTTGTGTATTTGCAATATCTGCTATACCACAGTGCCACCTATGGGTTAGGTAGTGAAAAAGCAGAAAAAGAGTGTTTTTGGTGTAGTGCCTGGACCTGGATCCTGCAACAAAAGGGAAAGTAGGTAGCAGCTGATTAACAGTCTTGTGTAGAAAATCCCTGAGAGAGCTTATTTTAATTATCCATTAAACCTTGGTAGTGGGACAACTGTTATCAAAAAGATACTTTTTTGAAACATAATAAAAGCATAGTGCCATAAATGCAAAGTGCTCTGGGTTTATAAATAACCATGGCAAGAGAAAACATTGTTCATGCGAAAGCAAAAGGTCAACGTTTGTTGCTTGCTACGCTGCTGACTTAAACAATAGCTGCTCTGGGGTTCATCCAAGTAGACAAATGCCTACTTTAGTACATTGTCTCTGACAGTGGCCAATGTCAGATGAAAGTCGTAGGAAATATTCCTTGCTGTTCACCCCCATGCCCAGATTCATAAAATAAATTAAATAGCAGCAGTCCTGATGCTGACTGCTGGGGACTCTTATGCCTGATGAAAACTGTTTATTCCTTTAAAACACACCCAAATCCATTTAGTAATGAATAGGAGGATCTGTTCTTCTCATCAATAATTGTCAGGTTTTCTAAATTATGCGTTGGAAAGGAAGTAAAGCACAGCAAGAATATAAGCGCATACCTCCTGTCTGTAGGATATAGCTCCACGGTAATAACATCAAGTGAGTTCCATGCCGAGATGGTGAGGCCATTGTATAGACACAGCATGCCTATCATCATAGATTCACTTGTACCAAACCACAGAAAAAAGCAACTAATTCCAGAAAGAATCATGGAACCACCTGTAAGTAAAGCAAACAATAAGAATTACCTCTGATTTTTTCCCAGGGGCTTTGCAGAGCAGTGCCATGCCACCTTACTGCAATCCCAGCCACAAGGAGGGATCTGGACACCAGCACAAACGGTTCAGGCACATTGAGTGTCCCAGTTGCAGAAGCTGCAAAAACCCTGGACCTGGGTCCTGACAATAAGACTGAACAATACCTGAACTAGATTCCTCTCAGGTACAAGCACTCAAATGGACCCCAAAGGAATGCATTACCTGCTGAGATCAGTCCAGAATGCTGGATGACCTGTCTCTGACAACACTTTCCCCTGGTCCACAGATTCCAGACCTGGGCTGGTTTAAGTTGGGCCTGGGCTGCCCTGTTAACAGCAAGGGGTTGGACCCAATGACCTTCATGGCCCCATCCAACTCTACTATTCTATGAAGTACCTGCATTCCTATCGAGTGTTCTTACCATCAACCTGAAACCTCTGCTTGGCTCTGGCTCCTCTAAGTCCTTCTAGGTCTTACCAGAAAAAGATAGGTGTCTTTGGTAGATTATACCCTTGAAAAAGTGACAAAGGACTCATACAGAGGGTCAAACTGGATATATACAGCAGATGTTTTAAAACCCCTTTCTTCTGGCCATTTCCCCATTCTACATGCCGCCCCACAAACTGCTTTTCTACCTGCAAAACGACAGGCATTCTCAAATCATTCCAACTGTGGAAAGAAAAGTGAGGGGGGTTGCATTAAAAAGGGCTGATTCAGACTAGAAGACAAATGGAAAATAAATAGTAAAGCTGTAGTCCTATGCCACTCCCCTGGCAGCAAGCCCAAATAAAAGAAAACAAAAGGGCAAGTAAGTAAGTGGAAGCAAAATTATGCATGGTGTGGAAAGAGTGAATCGGGAGACCTTTTTCTTCTCTCTTTATACTAGAACCTGTGGACATCCCATGAAGCGGATTGGTGAGAGATTCAGCAGAGGTCAAAGAATGTACTTCTTCACATAGCATAGTCCAACTATGGAATTCATTTTAACAAGATGTAGTGTGTGACACCAGTTTGGATAGCTTTAAAAGGAGAGCAGACAAATTCATGGAGGAAAAGGCTCTTAATGGCTACCAGTCATAATGACTATATGACAGTATCAGAGACAGCATACCTATGTATACCAGTTGCTGGGGAAAATAGGCAGGAGGGTGCCTTACCGCTCATGATTGTGGCAGGAGGCTGGTTGGCCACCATGTGAACAGATTGCTGGACCGGATGGAAATCTGGCTTGACCCACCATGTTTCTTATTTTCTTAAGCCCATTAAACATAGTGGAATTTACCTCGGAGTAGACATGCTTAGAATTGTGCTATTAGTAATTCTTGCCCCATTCAAGATGACCATTATGGCAGTTATTTTTCACTTCAACAAGCAAAGCCAATGGAAGATTTGTTATGTGCATGTGATGTATATCATCAAAGCTGGCTGTGAACTTGTAAAAAGAATTGGCTAAAGCTTCTTTCCATCTACTTGCACAGTTGACAGATAATTTCTAAAGTAAAAAACGAAACTTCTCAAACCCCCTCCCACACAACCACCAACTGCAAACCCTAAAAAAGAAAAAGGAGATAAGACTGTTTAATGTATTTTTAAAAATCCATTTTAACACAAAGTTCATACCTAACATTGTTAAACGCCCAATTCTGTCCATCAAAAGAGCTGAAACGATATTCCCTGGTAATACTGCAAGAGTCCCCAGGAAATTAACAAAGTAAATCCAATAGGCACTGTAATCATCATCAAAGGAAATTTGACATCCTGTCTTGTTGTGAAAGAATCTGGGGTTTATAAATTCACTGCCAGGGCATTTAGATGGTTCAATATCTAAGGAAACAGAAAAAGTGACAGAACAATACCAAGAGGAACTCATGACAGTATCTGATTTTAAAACATATCAAATACTGATAGTCTCAATGATAACTGATTCTTCAACATATTACTTTCAAAAAGCATAGGGAGAAAGCAAAATAAATATTCACACTGACTTCAGTGTTCTGTATTTTAAACATCTGATGAGGCTATATTACATTTCATGAATGTTAACATGAATCCCCCTTTCCATTTAAAAAGAACATGAATATTATATTATCCCTTTACACTGGAAATATTAACATAGTTTTTAATGTTTTCGACTGCTGGGGTGAAAAAATGGGGCAACCTGAATCAATAAATCAAACAACTATTTCTTCAGTAGGATAACAAATCAAGTATACTTATCAATGTGTTTCAACAAATGTTATATACGAAACTCAGTGGACTGAATCTGCAACATTACTGCACACAACCCATTGTTAGAAAGCAGCTTGGTTCTAGATAGAATCAAACAAACCCCATCTTGACTACAGAACAATAACCTTGGTTTTTGTCATCCTTGACCGTGGTGATGCAAGAAAACACAGATCCAGGCCACTGCAGCTAAATCACACACATAAGGCTACTCTGGACACCATCAGAAGCTGAGCAAACTTGCAAATATGCATATGTCCCAAAGGGAAAGGATAACATCTTTCCCTGGTTTTGCTGATAGAAAAGACTGCAGCTGAACTCCCCTTCTGTGGTTTTCCTTTTTTCCCTTTCTTTCAGAATTTGATGGTCTTATAATACACTCTGTCTCCTAACAATTAAGTACTATGGTTAAGTAAAGTTGATGGCAATATGGACTCAAGTGAAATAAAGGCGAATGTGCAAGATACATTCAGAGTGAAGGCTACAAACTCCAGTGAATGAATGCCAGTTGTAGCTGGAATCCTATTAAGTCTAGCTTCTTTCCAACCTATACATTTCTATTTCACTCTCATATTCCTTTCTTCTTCTGCCCCCATGAACACTGCATCAGGGACTCTTGCATTACTGAATCCCTTCTTCCTTGTGCTATAATGCCAATCCACCCATCTCTCTACAGAAGAGACTGTGCGTGACCAGTCATGACCGAAATGACTTATTTCGGATTTTAGCTAATTTAGCTAGTTAGATAGAAACCTAGCCAATTCCTTCATGCAGAGAACAGTTGTAAATGGAGGCTTGTAGATTTATTACCATATTTTTGCCTGATGTTGCTCTATCGAATTAATTCCCCCCAAATCAATTTGTGAATGTTGCCTGGGTTCAACGTATGTGCTAAATTGAATGCTCTCCCAGCCCTCTCTCCGTGTGTGTGTGTGTGTGTGTGTGTGTGTGTGTATCCTTGGGTGGGAAGGTCTCCTCTTAACCGCAGATACTCTATGAACAAGGCCTAAAGGTCTTTGTTAGGTTTAATGAATGTGTGTCCATGAAAACATGGACAAGGAATATACTCATCTGCACAAACAGAGAGCACATTAGGTAACAGCATACATTTGCTATTTTCTAATCTTTTACTAGATTTATTATTTAATGATTTAGAAACAGCATTTTCTCAAACAAGTGTGAGGAGAGGGGGTTACAATGACTCTAAACTCATCTTAGATTCTACTGTAGCTGTCTATAACTGCAGCAGTCAAGAAATGCTTGATAAAATGGGACATGCATGGAATTGGATAGCAAAACAATGAATTTCCTTCTAGTATACCTGTGTTCCTGAAGGTGGTATTCAGGAAAGTGCAGTTCCTAAAATACGTGTTCAGTGTGGTAACATCTTCAAAATTACAGTTTTCAAAGAGAGTGTCTTGAAAAGTAACTGTTTTGAATTTCATCATAGTAAACCTGAGCAATAGAAATAAATATGAAGAGTCAACTGAAAGCAGAAGGAATAAAAAGAGGCCTAATCATACAATCTTACATTGGGTTAGTGCAGTAGTTCCCAAATTGTGTTCCAAGAACCCTAGACTTCTGCAAAAGCCTTGCAAGGGTTCTGTGAAAAATCTGAAAAACCAAATGTAAAACAGATTTTAAAATGAAACCACATGAAGCCAACCATTTGATTGTCAGTTGGCATCCAAGGGGCAAACAAGAAAATGCATCACATCATTTGGTTCCTAGGACTCTATTGCGTAGTGTTGGGAATAATCAAAATAATTCATTTGGGTTATTACCATATATTTGCTTTATTCATTCATTATATTTAAACTGTTTTATCTTTATTTCTAAACCTACTACGTTATGCAAAGCACTCAGGCAACAGAATCAGATGAAAGAAGGAAGAACATTGTGGGTTCACACTGCTTAGTAAAAATTAGGGATACCGGTAGGGTTCCGCAGGGAAAAAAAAGTCTTCAGAAAGTTTAGGAACCGCTGGGTTAGTGTGCTGTCCAAATCTGGGCTTTTCCCACAAGGTGGCTAGTCTGTGGCAGTAATGACCCATGACTTCTTCTAGGGATTACTGGACCCACAGAGAATGTTTGTGTTGTCTCAACCCAAGTGACTCTCCCCACTATGGATCCAGAAGTGGTAAGTGAACAATAAATTTTCCTGTCAAAAATAAATGCAGAAATTTGCTAGAGTTTTTAAAAGATAGACCTTTCTTTTGATGGCTATCAAAAGAATTGTTTGGAGACTTGGAAAAGTGAGGTACAGATGGAAGCACTGGGAACTACAAGGGGAACACTAAAAGCCCTGAGAATTACATTAATGTTTAACAGGTTCTTTTGCTCAATGTCTATGGTTGATACTTGCTGACACTTAATAATGCAAGCCTCCCCCTTTGTGCAACTCTGGAAAACTTAAAAAAAGAAACATTATGAAAATAGTGTCACATAATCAGTTGTTCACAAAACCTGTAATAAAAATAAGCAGAGAACCATTGGCATCCCCTTGAGTATGCTGCCTGGGCACTTTAGAAGGACTGTCAGTTGCTGTCATCTCAGAGATAGTGACAAGCAATCTTTGGGGGGCAGAAGAACTGCAGAGAATGCAAAATGGCTTTTGATTGTGGGATAAGATAGTTTCACCCACTGTGTCCCTTGGGATATCTCCTGGGGAAAGGATGGAGGGGCAACCCAAGTGATCCCAACTGGCAGATGCATCTTTGGTTGATCCACAGATACCTCACACTGTATAGCTCATTCACAGAGTAGGTTGCCATGTCATGGAAATTTATCCCTAGTTTGAAAGTATTTTTCAACCAATGCTGCAATAGTATGATTCAATACAATTGTAATGTGACATTCCAATCATCCAAACCCTGTCACAATATCTTCAAAGTCACCAGTGTTAAACTAAACATTATTTGGCTTGCTGCAGGCTTACACATTCATCTTTTCCCTCTTACATCTAAAGTTCCTCCTTCCTTTCCTGGTCTGGAAAACCAGCAACATATTCATGTAGAAACATATTCATATAGAAACAAGAGCACGTTAGAAGGAGCCTTCTGGGCCATCTAGTCTCCGGGCAGCTCTACTCATGACATGCCTACCATGTGCATGTCCAGCCTATCCTTGAATACCCTCACCCATGGGGCTTCAACCGTATGTCACATTATGGTTAGCATTAACAATGAATGGCCTCCAGACCATGATTTAAAACCAGTGTTGACTAACATTTATCTTATTTTATACAAGTTGGAAATCAGGGGAACCTATGGTTATTTTAAACCTGGAAAGGAGAGAAGGTATTCTAAGAGAAATATGGAAGAGAGGGGCTGTGAACTTGTGGCAGATTCTCAATCCTGCTATATTGAACCTATATCCTTGAGACCCAAACCTTCAAAAAGAAAACCCAGTAAGAAAAAAGGCAAGGCTACATTATACAATGCAAGTATCTCATTTTCAGTTCAACCAACTCAAAGGGTTGCTAGGCACATAAAATGTGATAAACCAGTGAACACTGCCCTGTGTTTTTTAGACAAAGGATAATAAATAGGCAGGAGAAGTGAATAGCAGTGTAGCTCCAAAGACAGATCGTATGATGAACTCAAGTTGGACCGGTGTCCAAGTCCTAAGTCAGTAATGACCTGAGGTAACCATGACGTCATTGTCTCTCAGGCTGAGATTCTGACTCTTACATGAATTTATTCCCACATCAGAGCTAAATCTGTCTTTTGGTCTCTACACAGTGCTGAGGAATTGTTTATGGACATGGATACATTATTAAGAATAAACTTCCCCAAAACAAACATATCAACTATTAAGAATGAAGACCATGGGGGATGAGGAAGAGGCCTGGATTTTAAAACAATGCACACTACCACTAATTTATTTCCAAAAGTAAACTGATTGTTTCTCTCAACCTGTCATTCAGGAATGTTCCATTGAAGTGCATCTGATTTTCCAAAGTAAAGTTAAATTCGAAGTCTGCAATCGTCTGATTATAAAAATTCTTCCTTCTAGAAGCATATTCATCTGCTTGTAGTTGCTTAATGACATCTGGAAACCAGACTGACAATCCATAGTAGCTGTAGAAAGGAAAAGGTATAAATAACTTCAACAGTTTAATCTCAAAAAAGTATGTCCAAATTATCGTAAAGGCAACTAAAATCCATGACACAGAACTCTGAACCGTAACGCAGCCAAACTATTTTTTGAAAATCCAATGATAAAAAAATGAACATTTTAAAATGCAGTGGCTCCATTTCAACATAATGCTAGTATTACAGGAATAAACCTAGATTTCTTCTAGATCTATGTGTCCTCTCGCATTTCTTAAGGAGCAGCTGTGAAATTTGTAGCTGTTGCTTTTATCTTAGATTAACCACAGCTAATGGTTAACAGTAACTACAGTTTTGTCTGAACTGTAGTTACTCTTAACTGTGGTTATTAAAAACTAGTTAGTTTCATAAAATTGGTATAAAGCCAGCTTGGTTCCACCAACTACAGTTAAGACTTATTGTAGTTTGTCTGGGTTCAAACCTCACAGCTGAAAAAATGTGCTGTAAAATGGAAGTGAACACACTGAACTCAACGTGAAAGAAAAATTAGGAGAATGCATGAGCCAGGGAGAGGCTAAGCTTATCATTATAGTGTTAAAACCACAGTTTTGTATAAAGTTATTGTATTTATTTTGGCTGCCTTTCTTAATGGTCCCTAAAGCATGGGATTCCTTCTGTGGTTCAGTGAGTAAAAGCAGTACCGTACTCACCCAGATATAGCAACTTGAGAATTTCACCTGTCTGGAAGTCTCTTCACCAGGTAAAACTAGGCAAGTACAAACCACTTTACCATGTACTGATGTGTAAGATGTATGTGCAACAAGTCTAATGCAAAGACATTTAACTTGATGTCTGTCTTGTACACCTTACCCAAAAGAAAGAGTGAACCACACTGCTGCAAGTTTGGTCGTATTGTCCTTTACTGGATAGGTGAAACATCTCATAAACGTTAACCAAATCTGTGATAAAGGAAGAAAAATAGCATTTATTTCAAAAATTCCACTTAGATCAATATGCAAAAGACTTCTAGGCCTAGTGCTTAGAGTGACAGGCCATTAACCTGCTACTGGTTCTGTGAATGATCATCCGCAAACTCACACACATGTTATGTGCCTGTGCAGAACAGTCATTTGAAACAATACAGACTGAGCTCGATAGGCAGGAGCCCGCCTACCTCCCCTGCACACACTCTAGGCCAGGGGTCTCAAACTCGTGGCCCGCGGGCCAATTGCCAGGACGGGTGGGGCACAGGGGAGGGGCCCTGCGGCCTTCAAAGCGCCGGTGGCGCCCGGGCCGGCTTCCAGGAGCGATGCGGGATGAGCAGCCCCCCACCACCGTGGTGGTGGAATACTTGATGCAGCCCAGCCTCACCCAGACTCTACTTTCAGTGGCCCCCAGGTAAGTTGAGTTTGAGACCCCTGCTCTAGGCACAGTTGCCACCTGCCTCTCGGTTCTGACTTCACCTCAATGGAGGAATAAAAAAGGCAAGGAACAAAAGCAGGAAGGATAGTGGATTGTGACTTCACAGAAGATGATCTGAAGAACCACTCTTATAGGTAAATAACCTGCTCTCCTTCCTGGTCTCTGTGATTCACACATATGGGTACCCAAAATGCAAGTTGAGGAGAAAGATGTCAAGCCACAGCTGAAGAAATTGCCACTCTGTTAAATGTCACTTCAGTATACGCTCAGATATTCAGACAATAATGTTTGATAGAGGTGGAAGTCTAAGCCTCTGTGTTCAATTCTACAACTGTGCTGCACAGTGGAAAAGGCTGCTATGGCTCTGGTTGAGTGACCCAGTCCTTGTAGAAGGGATGGTAGACGTGCCAGTCAGTAGGTATGGCTGACACCACCCATCTGGCAAAGCACTATGATGACACAAGCTGACCCTTTTTTGGTGCTGAATGACAGATCAATAAATGGGTTGATTTTCTAAAGGACAATATAGAAGAAAGTGCCCTTCTGAGTTCATCAGGGAAGTAGGCTGAGGAAGGTAAACTGGTAGTACAGTAACTTCAGCTGAATAGAATTGTGAGACAACCTTTGGAAGGAAAAAGTCAGACTGGGCGTAGCAGTACTTTGTCCCTATGAAAAGAAAAGAATGGTTAGTCAGAGTGCCTTATAACTGCCTTGTTCTTTGTGCCGACATGATAGCAACAAGAAAAAACACTTTCACCATGTGTTCCTAAGGTTGGCTGTGGCCACAGGTTGGAAGTATTTGACTGTTATCTGAACCAGTGCCACTGATAGACTCCACGCTAGGACCAGAGTGGGGCTGGTTGACACAGGATAGGAAGTCCTTTAAAGAACTGTTTAATGTGAGGTTGTGAGAAGAAAAGACATTTATAACAGTGCAATGACTGGCCAATACAGCAAAATAAACTCGCATAGAGGAAAGAGTTAACCTCTAGATTTGGTAGACCAGAGGATTTGGGGTCCTGTTTTGCTGGAGTGAAACATGTCAGGAAAGCTTTCTACTTGGCAGTGAGTGAGGTCCAGGAGAAAAGTCTGTATGAAGCAGGGATTACTTCTAGGAGCTCACTGGAGGTTCTCCACATTCCATGCAGCGAAACACCGAGCCTCCAGGAGCCTGATCTGCACACTGTGAAGTGATTTGGGGAGCAAGAGAGATGGAGAAAAGTTTGCTTGTACAGGAGAGGAAATGCGGCAAACCATGTTTGCCTCAACCACCATGGTGTTACTGAAATGCAATGAGCCCATGGTGTCTTACTAGAAAGGAAGGGGCAAACATATATATTAAAGAGTCTCCACAATGAAGAAGGGAAGTATCTCTCAAAAGCTCTGGATTGTGACCATTCTGTTGCAGAAAGACTGGCATTTTGTAATCATTTTTTTTATCAAAGAGGACAATAGCTGGGATGTTCCAAACAACAAGAAGTTTTAGCATGCCTGTAGGAGAGAACTTCCACTCATGACCTGCTGAGTGAGTTATCAGTGAGTTACAGCACTGGATATTTCTGTAAAGTGTATGACAATTTGGCAACATGCCAAGGAAACACTGAATGCTGCTTGTCTGGCATTGGGGGACAGTCTTCTCGCGCAGGGTCATAGAGTGTCTGCTCTGTCCCCTGGTAGGAAAGCACAGACTTAAGTGGAGTTGAGAGGTGACGTTATGAATTGCTATATCTGCAATGGGATGTTTCTTTGTGAACCTGTAAGCACAGATGCAATAGATACTATTGATCTTGGTAGTAAGGCAGTGGGGAGATGCAGCTATGAAAAGCCAGTTATGTATGCAAGAAAAAATGGTAATTCCTTAAAGTATCAGGTGTACCACCACGAACGCTGCACACTTCAAAAACAACCTTGAAGCTATGACTCAGAAAGCTTGAACTGGAAGAGTTTATTGCTTTAGGGGAATCTGAGAAAAAGATAAGAAACAGGTTCTAAAGCAATGTGGAAGTAAGCAACATGATCTATTGTGAACCAATCCCCGCAATGTAGGAGAGGAAGACTGGATGATAGTGTAGACATCTTGAATTTCTTTGGAAAATGCAACCATTTACATTCTCACGTCACATCTAAATTGAAAAGCACTGTCTTTTAGGGGCTCTGTAAAGTACTCAGAAAAGAAGCAAGTAGTCCCTTGAGCAGTAGTCCTTTAAGAATGTTCTGTGCTCAACATGGGAGTCATTCTTCTCTTAGCACTAAGTAGGGTTACTAGAGCAGAAATTCACCAAAAGATGGGGTTGGTATCTTGAATTCAGTGCAATAGCCTTGGGTAATGTTAGAAAGCACACATTTGTAAGGGATGGACTTGCAAATGCGGAAAAAGAGTTTGGGTCTGTTCTGGTGAAAAGGTTGGGCTCCACTGCAGAAACTAGGCAGATGTCTTCATTTTCTAGATGCAGTCAAGAGTGTCATCTGTGAGCCCTTCACTGTCAAATGAAAGAGCCTCTACTCTTGATCTGGCATCCTGGTTGAATCCTGCAGTGAGATGACAGGTATGAACTCTCAAAGACACAGAGGTTTCTATAGCTTTGTAGCTGCAGTTGGCCATGTTGATATGGTGACTAGGCTTCAGCCTTGAAAATCATCAAGGATTTTTTAAAGAAGACTTTTAGGAAGAAGTTTCTGAAGCCAGACCCAGTTCTTTTCCCACAAGAACTGCTTACATGCTGTGCTAAGGCTGCAGTGGAATGTATCTTGCATCCCACTGAATCAAGCTCAGAATGGAGAAAGCAAGGCAATCACAATCTGGCTTCAATATTATTAGTTAAAAATTATGTTACTTGGAATAACTCATTTTGAGGGCTTTGTTATATTTGCAGATAAGGACCCATGAAGTACCTCTCTGCGCAGAGACTGGGTGCCTCAAAATGCCAGATACTGGTAAGAATTCACAGCATTTGTGCAAAGTGTGCCACTACCAGATATGGACTTGTATGCTCTTTCCTGAATTCCACAATGTTGTAGCTGCTGCCTGGCCTCAATCAGGGGAATATCTCATCAATACCAGGGTTCAGAAGGACCTCAGAAACTACAATGCAGTGACTGCATCCATTCTGCTACTCTTAGAACACAGCTTCTAATTAAAAAGCAAACAAAACAAAAGCAGGTCATTCATCAAGAGCACTGAGAGAGAGCCCTCAATTGCAGCACGTTCTGGTATAGATGAAAGGTTCCACAGAAATTGACCCATAGTCAACCAAGGGACCTCAATCAGGATACTACATATTTTTGACATACACAATGTACAGTAATCTACCCATTTCTCTTTCTGGGGAGTGCTGATGGTGTTACTCCCTCTTTCAGCAGTACATGCAAGAAAGGGAACAAGTCTCAGGAGTCCAAGTTTTTCCTCTTCCCCTTGCAATGTGCGAAATATTACCTTGCAGGAAATTAGAAGAAGCTCATGCCCTGTTTTCTGAATTAGCTGTCGTGTTGCACCTAGAACTAGACCTCCGGGTGCAAGTTCAGTTTCCCACAGCTCAGAAGCCTGCCAAATTCAGGGAGTGGCAAGGAATGGGGGCCATGAACATCACCAGCACCTCGGCCGGCCTAGGAGTGTTGAATCTATTAGGCTGTTGCTGACCACCACAGACTTTCTTCTTATTAAAATGAAAAAGAGTAATAACAGAAGTGGTTGGCTGAGCATGCACATTGTTAGGTGTGTTCATTTTACTATTTTTACTTTAGAACACTTTTTCTTCCTGCTGGAAAGAGTCTTATTTCCAAGTAAATATTTTTAGCACCAGGGCATTAGTAACAATCTCCATTTTATTCTTGTAGTCATAATGGTGCTATGATTTAAGTGCATTTAAAATGCAAAACTGCACATGTTTGGAGCATTGCTACATTTTTTAAAATCAGGATTGAGAAAGTTCCCTCTTTTTTTCTTTTCTATAATGTACTGGTAATACAGAAATAATTGTAAAGCTTGAGGGGGTTAGTGAGTTGTGTACTTCACAACTGAAATGATATGTAATGTTGTCTCAAGGCTGCTCCCTCTTTCCCAAAATGATACTAAGTCATTTTGCCAAGCCATAAAGTCATAAAGTCATAAAGCCAAGCATTTATCATTAAGTCATAAAGCCAAGCATTATCTAGCTGTACCACTGCTTGGCGGATCTGCTGTATGCAATCATTCATTACTCAGATATACAAAGATAAAGAAAAACTGCAGTATCTCAGCCTGTTGTATCTACAGGACTACCTCACAGAAAAGTAATCTATCTTTTCCTGGAATATTCCCTAAATTTCACTGAATGTGCTTCTGTGTTCAACCTACACTGAAAAGACCTGGGTTCAAACCATAATTTATCTATAAAGTTCCTAAGGTGACTTTGGGCCATCTGCTTTCTCTCGACCTAAAGTGTTACAATGATAAAATCGGGATAGCACCACCTTAATTACATTTTTGGAGAAAGGGCAGGAAAAAGCAATGTAAGAAATACGATGTGATCATCTGGAAACTTCTACGTAACACAGGCACAGAATATTCCCTCCTTCCTTTTAAAAAATATGAAACAGCATTAAATGTTTACTTTTTACAGTTCTGCTCGAATTTCAGCCTAAATAACGCTATTAAGAGAATGCTACTTACACCATCCAGCTCTGTGCGCACTCTGACATAACATCTCCTGTACCAGGTTCCTGTATCACTTTCGATTTCTATAAGTTCATCTATCTGCTTGGGTGTTTTGATCCTGTTAACCTTTGCAGAACACAAGAAGATGTTTTTATGTTCTTTTCTTATCAGAAAGAGGAAAATATTTCATTGTAAAGGCAAGAAAACAACTTTTAGGACTTTAAAGAAGCAACAGCACCTCGAATTGGGCTCAGATGCTAACAGGTAGCAAGGAATAAGAGTCTGCGTGGCTGGACTGGTTGCAATTCTGTCCAATCCATTCTGCACTAGCAAAGGCTTCCAAAACAGTTTAATGTGTAATACTGCACAGAGCATATTTCAGTAATCCAACTGAAAGGTTACCAGGGCATTGAAGCTGTATTAAACATCTACCCAGTTTATTGTCAAAAATATTCTTAATATGTTTGTTTTCCTCAAGAAAAATGAATACTTTCCATACTCCTGGCAATTATCTATCCTTAGTGTGACTGGGGCTGGAGTAAGGAGGCATACCTTGATAAAAATACTTACTGTGAAAACTTTTTCAGGCTGACCACGAGCTCGCATATTTGTATCATGAATTTGTTTGAGAATCATCCAAGCTTCATCATGTTTCCCAGCCTATACATAAGAAATTTGGTAAAATATATACAATTATTACATAAAACCTATAGGAACAAAATATTGTAGGAATCCAGAGTGCTAAGAATTTATATTATTAATACTTCCTATTTGTTTCCCACCCCCATGATTCTTCCACTCGTATGCTGATAAGCAAATCTCTGTTGCCAGAATTCATCAGCCATCTATCTCAACCCAATGTCAACATTAAGTTGTAGTAAACTGATTACATGCCGCAGGTACTTGTCCCCAGGTGGCCTTGAGCAAGTCACCATCTCTCAGTACTAACCAATTGTTGAAAGGCTGTTATTAAGATAAAGTAATATCCCTATGCACACTATTTGGATCTCTTTAGAGTTTCTGGAATTTATATATTAAATTATTTTATTTACTTGGTTATTTTTATCCTGACATTTGAGGCCAAGCCCACACAAAATAAGTTTACAAAATAAGAAATAATATTAAAAATTATTCAGTTCAGTGTTATCATTTAAAACCCCCAGAGAAAAAATGTTCAATATATCATAGAAGTAAAAGTGGGCATTAAATAAGACAAAATGAGAATAATATAGTACTAACAAACTTAACAATAAAAACTGATTAGAAATATTTCGATAAAAACAATCCAGCATCAAATAAAACGTATGGATCAGATTAAAAGATCTAGAAAAAAACATAGTAGAATAAAATTATCTGTATGGAACAATCCCATGGTACCTAGTTATGACCTGGGTCGCAAAAGGACACTTTAGATTTCTGGATGTGAAGTCAAAGATTACATTCTCTCTTCCCTCCAGAGCAGGGAATCCAGGGAATCCAGTCAGGCTGGCTGTTTCTCCAAAGTCAATGGGTGAAGAAGGCTGCAGAGGTCTGAGCAAGACATACACTGCAGCCTCCATAGCTTCCTTCCTCCTACCCCAAAGCACCCTACCTACATGGCCAAAAGTGACCATCAAATGAAAATGCCGTGGGCAGGGTAGGCAAAATCACCTCTACCTGTCCTCCCGTTCCACACGGGTTGCTTGCAAGCCTCTGAGTTCAACGGCTTACATGCATCACGGGTTGCTCTAGCATCCAATGGGTTGCACCTTGGTGTCTTTTCAAAAACCACCAAAGAAGGGGTCAACTTTCTCAAGAGAGAGAACTGCAAAGGTATGGGGCCCGCACACAAAGGTCCTTCTCCATTCCCCACAACCTGATCCATTTTAACAGCAGAAAGAGCTCAGACCCTCCAAGGCTAACCTTAGGGCCCATGCAGATCGAACTGCCCCAATGATCAAGGCATTTTACCTCAAGCAAGAACCTTGGGCTTTCTGGCATGAAAGTAAGAGCCACGACCGCAGAAACACAGGGGAGGGCGCACATAACAACAAATACTCGCCAGCTGTGGAACTGATAGGCAGATCCCATGCTGAAACTCCATCCTGAATAAGGAGAAACACACACATAAAGATTATGTCTTAAAACATGACATAGTTTGGACGGTTGCTTTTCTGCATTGGATGTATACTGATATTCTGATCTGACCTAAGAAGTATCATCTTTCAGAGTATTTGCCTATTCCAGTAATTGCAGAGGCCACATAGTAGAAACTTTTTGCTGTAAACAATAAAATTATAGCTGGAAATCAAACAAAATGGAAAATTTACAAAGTATAGTCTTTTATCTAAAAATACTAGAATGCTCACTTATGTGCAACAAACAAGCACTGAACTAATACATCATGCAATTTACTGATTGCCTGCAGTTGGTAACCAGCCCTGAGGAATCAGAAAAGTAGCAATCTGCAGCACTGCTTGATTCTCCTAGCTGGTTTCTCTTTTCCCTGCCTCTTTCCCTTCTAAGACAAAAGAACAGAGTGTACAAAGTTCACTGCACACCAACCTGAAAGTTCAGCACACACAGAAATTATATTATATATAGGTTGATCAGGAGTTATATACCTATGACTGTATTTCTATGAATAACATGAACCCTTCTGAATTGATTATAGCAAAATTGCCAAGAGAATTCTTCATTTAATATTTTGATTCAAAATATAGTCTTCTTTAACATCTTATTAGAAGCTTGTGAACCTCTTTTTTAAAGAGAGTTAGTAACCTTGCTAAATATGAGAAATGTTCCATCAAATTCTGTATTTTCCTTGTAGTTTTTATAACAGCAATTAATCTATGAATCAACCATTATTTTTGATTCATCTGTAAGGGTGAAGCCCTGATATTGGACATCAGTGTTACAAACAAAACAAACAAAGTTCCAACATCTGAAGCAGGATTTTCTCAAAGGAAAAAGGACAAGCTGATGGGTAGAGATGGAAGAACAGTCATGAATCTGCTCACAGACCCACAAGGAGCTAAGCTCTGAGGCCAGAGGACCATTTGCTCAAATTACAACAAAGGAGGCTGTAAAACTGTTGCTACTCCCTCCTTCTCATCTAGAAGCTATCTTCAAAGCTTGTAATTACCTCTGCTATTAATTGCTTAATCATATGTTCACAAAAAGTTTTAAAGTCATTATTCTAATGTTAAACATACTGCTATAAAAAGGATCATGTTGATCTCAACACAAAGGATTGAATGCAAGGAACCCTTGTAGGTTTGCTCCTACAATGGGACTTCCCCATTCTTTCCTCTTCCCTGCAGGCTTCACCTCCATAAACCAAATCTGGTTTGTAAGGTTCCTGAACCCTCTAGACCACCCTTTAAAGGGCTCCGGGGGTTTATGAAAATCTGTTCCACCAGTGGTATCCTCTCGCAGGTGGACAACCAAATGTGAAACAAGCCACTATAGATGGACTTGTAATCATTGACACCAATAATTTAATTACTGATTTCAAAGAAAACCATCTAAGATCAAATTACTGAACTGCGAATAAGAGCTAAAATGAGCCAATGTCTTAGCTTTAATCCAGCATATTACAGTGGTACCTTGGCTCACAAACTTAATCCATTCCATGACTCTGGTCGTGACCCAAACTGGTCATGAGCCAAGTCAAATTTCCACATAAGGTTCAATGTAAATAAGGTTAATCCGTTCTGTAACTATTTTTTTTTTTTAAATCACAAAACTTTGAAGCAAAGTGACAAAGAACAACGAAGATTATGGCCATCCCCCCCCCCCCCCCACGCCAGCATGAGCACGGCCATCTCCCCACCAGCACGGGTGCGCCCACGATCATAGACAGGCAATCGCAATCATCACCCAATGCGGTGTTTGCAATCCAAGTAAATTTTTTTCTTAAAATTTTGTTCGTGACCCGATTTGGTCATGAACTGAGGAATTCGTGAGCCGAGGTAACACTGTACTATGTATCTGTATGAAATCTATTATGTAGGTGTCCACAAGCTAGCAAATCTGTTTGTTCTCATAACGTATGATCAATGCTACCTGTAGACACATTCTTATGAAAGTTCTAAAACTGTGAAATCCATATTTAAAGCATTTATCTCTATTACACAGTGAAGTTATAGCAGTAAAATGGAGGCCCTGCTTAAAATGTCTATTTTGGGCCTATATTTCCAGATTCACAGAATCAATGGATTAGATAGCACTGCCACAGGAATTAGTTACAGCAAAGTATCTAAGTCAGGATTATATTTAAGTAATGTCTATCCCTACTTTCATTTATATCCTTTGTCATCCTTTTTTATATTCAGTCGCTTCTTACAAGGGGGAGAAAGTATTAAACCTGTCATGGTTGTTACTAAAAATGCCATTCCTGTTGCATGTATTGCTTGCTTGCTCTCACTTTGCAATGCCGCATTGGTAAGCTGGGAGTTCCCAGGCACTCAGTATACATCTTTGGTTGCCCTCAGCCAGAAAACTCATGAAAGCATGAAGCTATAATACTGTAATTTTACCTGAACATTATGGGAACAAACACACCACTTACATTCCTCCAATATTGACACACTCACTCAGCATAGAAAAACACACTGTGCTGCTCCAGTACAGTTGTCTATACATCCTGACACTAACATTGCAGTACTTCTAAAGCCAACAAAATTATTTTCACTGTTTCACAAAATGCATTCTACATTCCTCTGGATCACAGTGGGGCTGCACAGGGACTGAGGAAGCAATTATGTATTTTTTCCAGACATATCCACTTCTTCATGCACACTTGCCGTTCCAGAAAGCTTCATCTTCCATTAAGCAGTATGTAATGTAATCAGCCCATGTAGACTTGAATCCAAACTGAAACTTCTGCTCCTTCTCTCACTTTCAGGGTGGCTCCTACTGCTTACAGACTAGACAGTGGGAATGCCTGACACTTTGTTTACCTAACTTTACTCGGTAACTTTGAAACTGTCAATTCCCCTACCTCCCTTGCTTCTCCTTGTCCTCCTCAGAATGGGATAAAGTCATCTGAGCAGACTGTAAAGTGTGAGAGACAGACCCCTCTCTTAATATTTAATTCAATCCTTCCTTTGGTTATTTCTACTGCTTAGAAGACCCCCATACACATTTCTATAGCTTCATGATCAAGCTTACTCCACAATGCATTTATCTTTTATGAAACCTCAAGATCACCTCCTCTGGCTGCGGTCATTTTAGAATTAGTTCTAAAAATGCATTATGAACAGCTTTAAGATAAGCTCTGATGCCAATGTAGGAATGTTCTTGGCTTTTGACCAATTTGCATATACCATCCCTTCCCTGTGAGGGAACACAAAGATGTATGCGTTCTTTGTCTGATCCATTCAGATGGGCAACAGAGCTCTGCAGAGTTAAACTTCTCTGCAAATGCTAAAATCCAAAGTCATTAATCTTGAAAACAGCAAGTTCCAGGGGGCGACAGGTTGCTAAAACAATAGGCCCAAGTGCATCTTGGGAACTGTTTTCTCAGGCTGTGGTGTAAAATAAAACCTACAGTAACCACATTTTTCAGTCTCTGCAGCAGCTTCACATTGAATATCACCTTCTCACTCTACTGATTACAAGAAATGACCAAATGAATCATCCAACCTGCAGTGACAGATTACAAAATGGTATTAGCGTAGGACAAATCAATGACAAAATATACAAAAAATCCAATTTATATAGCACCACATATTTAAATATCAAGATGCAGCCAGAGTAAACTGCTTCCCCTTCTCCCAAAACTATGCCTTTCATTTTCAGCATTTTGGGGGGCTACTTGTGGGGCTATAAGAGCTTAGCAGAGTCACTTTGGGCAGGCGCAAGGCAAATGTTAAATAGGAAATAAAAAACACTATTGAATTTACATCCTGAGATATTGCTTAAGATAAAGGGAAGCTTTTCTCAAATTGGCCATTTCAAGGCAGCAACTCTACAGCCATGCCACCATCTGCTACTGCTCATTTCTCTCTCATCCCGACTACAACTTTCTTGCCATGAAAGAGTGAGCAAGCAAGTTGGTAACAGCGCCTGCTCTTCCTCCTCATCACCAAATCTGAGCCAGAGTGAGAGTTAGGCAAACATGCTGTTTGCAATGGCAAAGAGGTGGAGAGCAACACCAGAGAGACCAGTTGGAGTGGGGGCCCTTGGCAGGTGCCCAAACTTGCCTATCTTTGACACTATCCTTTACCAAAGGTGGTAGAGAAAGGTCTCCACTTAGAGTGTGGCTGATTCAACCACACAAAACTATACACTCCCAAGTAATTATTTATATTAAGGCTATTTGCCTTAAAATTTAAAAAAGCAGGTTGCTTACCTGTAACTGATGTTCTTCGAGTGGCCATCTGTGCAGTCACACATATGGGTGCTGCGCCTGTGCAGTGCCTTTGGCCGGAAGATTGCAAGCTAACGGTTTCTGGCGGGAAAGCTCCGCTCCCCCTCCCCCATAGCCTATAAAGAGCAGAGCATCCGCCATTTTGTTCAGTCTTTGACGACTGAACGTATGCCCCCACGTGGAAAAAAATTGCCACTATGAGATAGGAAAAAAGATCGGTACCATGAAAAAAGGGAAAACTTTCGGTACCGACGAATATGTCCACTCACCAACACCGAGCGGGGCCGGTGGGTGGGTTGTGTGACTGCACAGATGGCCACTCGAAGAACATCAGTTACAGGTAAGCAACCTGCTTTTCTTCATCGTGGCCTCTGTGCATCACACATATGGGTAGATTAATAAGCTTACCATAATGGAGGAGGGGAGGTGTCCTCAAGAAGAACAGATGAAAGAACGACTCTGCCAAAGGAGCAATCTTGCCGAGCCCGAACATCTAGACGATAATGTCTGGCGAAAGTACAAGGGTTCGCCCAAGTAGCAGGTCGGCATACATCATCAATTGGGACCCCCAATGCAAAGGCAGATGAGGCTGCAACAGCCCTAGTCGAATGGCTTCGAGGGGCTGTAGGTAATTCAATCTTAGCCAGTTGATAGGATAAAGTGATAGTATGGACTAGCCACTTGGAAAGTCTCTGCGGAGTGACTGGATCGCCTTGATCTCTGGTGGAA